GAGGGAATACAATGTGTCAGATCATGAATACAGTCAAATAAATTATAAAATTAAACATTTAGCAACTATTTCAGTGGGTTGGCAGGGAAAAACTGACACCAGAAGTTTTCATCCAAAGAGATCGTCTTGGTTCAGAGACTTTGAACACACCAGACAAGTAGGCTGGTGCTAATAAAAGTACACAGTAATGTGTTTTCTCCGTCTGGTCCCAGTCTGCACTTGTGCAACAGAGTTCTTAATCATTTGCAGAGTTTTTGCGTTGAGCAGACGGAAGAGCATCACAACAGTCCAGCTTGCTGCATTGTTTAAAAAAACAAACAAAAAAAGAGTGCATGAGTCTGTCAGTGTTGCTCGGAGAGAAATCGTTGCATTTTATCTATATTTTTTTAGATCAAAAACAGATTTGGTGACATAGAACATGAGTGCTGGAGTTTGACTCTGAGATAAATTATGACGCAAATGTTTTTTTGATGTGAATCTTAGAGAATTTAAATCTGGTATCAGTCTCTAGTGGAGCATTTGAACCTGTAACTTCAGCTTACATCATTATTACATTTAGTTATTAAATTCTAAAGCCCTGAACATTTGGGTATTACCTCATTGCAAAGTCAGCCTGTGGAAGGTCGGTACTGTGCCTCTTTCTAATTTGTATACCTTTCATGATTTTAGTTATGCAGACAGGCCACACACAGCCAGGGCAAATTTTTAACCAAGGTTAAAGCAGCAGCCAGAGGGTTGTGGAGAGATTTCATTCCAATGTCCTTCAGTACAGAGGACTGGCTACCATCAAGTCCAAGGAGCTGCTGTTATATACTGCTGCGAAATAAAAAAAAAGAAAAACAAATAATAAAAAAAGATAATGAAAGTCTTAGATATGTAAAGAATTGAAAATAGACTTACTAAAAAAACATGAAAAATCATAAAGATAGAAAAAGCAATGAATCAATAAAATTTCTGCAGATTCTGTGATAGCAAAAACAGTCATTAAGTCATCAGAAAAGACTCTTTGGTGCCCTGAGCAACATTTGGTTCCTCTGTACCATCTTGTGTTTTGACAAACTGTAAGTGTGACAGTTTGTTTGATTTCTTTTGAGTTTTTTTTTTTTGTGAGAAGTTGAGATGACGGCAAACATGTCAACTATGAGCATGGTGTAGTTATTTTCATCAAACTCTCTGCAAGGGCAAGTAAACAGACAGATTTCACAAAATGTTACTTGAAGTTTGCCCTGATACAGACATTGTCACACCAACAGTGTTGTCAGCGATAAACTTCCATATGAATGTCATAAATGACGTCTCTTTTGTTTCTTATTTCAAAGCTCTCTGGGAGCAGCTCAGAGTCTGGAGGAAACCCTGACAAACCCAAAAAGCACTCTCCCAGGAGGAGGCTGCAACACGCCCTGGAGGACCAGATTTACCGCATCTTCCGTAAAAGCAGAGTCCTGACCAACCAAAGCAGCAACTGCTTGTTCACTGTGCCTGCCAACCAGGCTTTTGTGTACGTGATACCGTCCACAGACGAGGACCCTGTGGGCGCCTTGCTTGGTCAGCTGCGGTCAAATTGCATCTTGGGCGACCAGGACTCCACCACGACAGTGTCAGGACCAAGGCGTTATCAGCAGATGCGACGTTCGGCTCGGCAGCCCAGCAGCAGCGGAGAACTGACCAGCATGTCGATGGGCGGTCAGCTGGTAGACTGCAGCTTGAAGGAATTCCTCTGGCAGCACGTAGAGCTGGTTCTGACAAAGAAAGGCTTCGACGACAGCGTCGGTCGCAACCCGCAGCCTTCACACTTTGAGCTGCCGACCTACACCAAGTGGGTCCAGGTCGCCTCCAGACTCCACCAAGTCCTCATCAGCAACACAGATGAAGAAATGGCTGAGCTGGCCACGAAAGTGCAAAGCCAGGTGAAGGTCTTGGAGGGTTTTCTTGATGCTGACACAAAGTTCTCAGAGAACAGGTGTCAGAAAGCTCTGCCTCTGGCTCACAGCGCTTACCAGTCCAACCTCCCCCATAACTACACCACTACAGTGCACAAGAATCAGCTGGCTCAGGCTCTGCGAGTGTACAGCCAGCATGCAAGAGGTGTAGCTTTCCAGCGCTATGCCCTGCAGCTTCATGAGGACTGCTACAAGTTCTGGAGCAACGGACACCAGCTGTGTGAAGAGCGAAGCCTGACGGACCAACACTGTGTTCACAAGTTCCATCTCCTGCCTCAGCCAGGTGAACCCCTTGTTTTTCTCTGCTTCACTGAGTCTGCCATAATGAAGACAAAAACTTGATGTATGCAATGTGCAGGGTGTATAATACAGTAACAGTTTGAGCTTTGGAAACTTCCATATAGACAACATTAATAACAGCATGCCTGCATTAAGTAGCAGAGGGAGATAAAAACTTTGTGTGGCAACTCGGAGGGTCACATAATCATAACAGTTGTGATGCCCATGGATTTTGCTAAACAAACCTTTACAGAAATGGCTAATTTGCAAATTATTACCTTAATTAATCAATTTTCATTTTATCTATTAAATGTCAGAATAGAGTGCAAACACCTGTTGTAAATTGCACGTTTGATTTTGTCTGACCAATATCTAAAGATGCTCATGAGAAAGGAAAGTATCAAATCCTGTTATTTAAGAAGCTGAAACCAACAAATGATTGAGAATTTTCTATACAACAAATGATTAAACTAAAGCACATGAAGAGAAGCCTAATAGATATAGGGAGAACATTCTTTCGTCAGATGAGACCACTGCAAATGTGTTCAGCTCAGATGAGGTCTAGCATATTTGGCATGAACCAAACTAGGAGTATACTACAGCGGATGCATGGTCCTGACAGTGAAGCACCAGAGGTCGGAGTGTGATGATATGGAGCTGCACAATAGATTATCTGCAGTTAGTTCTCTGTCAGTCAATCTATTAGTTAACTAATTTTTGCAGCTCCAACTCCACTTGAGATAAAACCACTAACATCAGTGCATGAAATCTGACTTCAATTTCTGCAGGAGAGAAGCCAGATATGGATCGTAACCCGCCCATCCTGAACCACAACAGCAGGGGGCGCTCCACCAGCTCCTGCAACTGTGGCAGGAAACAGGCTCCTCGTGAGGATCCATTCGACATCCAGGCAGCCAATTACGACTTCTACCAGGTCAGGATTCACACTACACCCTCCTGCTGAGGACCAGCAGAGCAGAGCCTGTCGATGTCTGGTTGTCAGATATCACATAATGTAGTCAGTGAAAGCGACCACTGCTACATTTTATTTTTGTAAATTGAGTTTGTGGAGGTCGCAGTTTTTCTGTCTATGGAGCCAAAGTAAATAGATGGAAAAACCTTGGAGCGTAAAAACCTGTGAAGACGAGAGTAGCTGCAGATTCAGGTGATAATTCTCTGTAGGTCCACCACTATGAGGGACACCTTCCACATGGTCACATTGTTTAACATTGTCATTGTAAAAATACTGATTCTAGACTATTTAATCAAACCGATTTTGGACTTTTTTTTTTTTTTTTTTAATTAAGAAAACCTGGAATTGTCATGTGCAATGTTTTCCAAGTGCCCACAGGTGTTACTAACCTTGGACACAATAGTGGCTCTACATACTAAAGATGTGTTACTTCTTACATTTTTATATTTGTTTCCACATTTGTCTCCTATCTGCTCTGTGTAAACACTGCCTGCAGTCCAGCCCAGGTCAGGCAAATTGTCCTTTTATTTCTGACTGATGCTTGCAGCTGAGTCAGTCATAACATTACAGTTGCACCAAGGAGTGCAGAAATTTCAGTTTGAGCTACTGCAAATGGTTTATTTTGGTGAAATATTAATTGAGACATGTAGAATAAGGCAGTTGTACCCTTAGATTCGGTTAGGTTTTTTGAGGTCAAGGGCCATCAGAAAAATGAAAATCTGGCAATTGGTGTCATTTTCCCAATTTAAAAAAGAAAGAAAGAAAAAAAATAACATGCCTTTTAAGCCATGTCGGTGGGTTTTGGGCCTCAAAGCGTTAAAAACAATATCTGAACACTACACATGTATCACGTCGCTTAACGTTCACATGTTTGTTTTTCCACGTCTGTGTTAAATGTTTTTCCTGAATAGATGCTGGAGGAGAAATGCTGCGGGAAGCTAGAGCGGATTGAGTTTCCAGTGTTCCAGCCCAGCACTCCTGACCCAGCTCCAGCCTCCAACCAGGCTCCGCGGCTCCCAGGTGAGGCCTCAGGGACTGGAGAAGCAGAGAGGCTGAAGGAGCCGAGCACCGCCCAGAGCCACACACCCGGAGACACCAGCCTCAGCCTGGCTCTCAGCCTGGGTCAGTCCACGGACAGCCTGGGACCCTACGGGGAGGGAGACGGACCCGATGCACAGGTCCAGCAGAAGAGGCCGAGTCTGATTGATCGGCAGCCCTCCACTGTGGAGTACCTTCCTGGTATGATGCACTCTGGCTGCTCCAAAGGCCTCCTCCCCAAGTTCTCCAGCTGGGCGCTGGTCAAACTGGGCCCAGCAAAGTCGTACAACTGCCACACCGGCCTGGAGCAGCCAGGCTTCCTCCCCGGCTCCTCCTTCCTGTTGCCATGGGACTTGGTGATTCGCTCTCGGTCGGAGGAAGATACGGGACTGACGGAGACTTTGGATGGAAACACTTCCTCGTGGCCAGCACCAAACAAGGCCCTCATTGGGAAGCGAGGGAGCACCGGAGGGCTCGGCAGGAGTCGCAGGAGGGATGACATGGCTCGGGTCTTTGTTGGCTTTGAGTATGAGGACAGCAGGGGGAGGCGCTTCATCAGCTGTGGGCCTGATAAGATAGTAAAAGTGCTGGGACCTGGAGGCGCCAAAGATCCGGCTACCAGGGTGCTGAACACCGACATGCCACTCTACATCCCATCTCCTTCTCAGGGCAGAGGCCTGAAGCCCCACTTCGCCCAGCTGGCTCGCCTTTTTATCGTAGTGCCTGATGCCCCGCTGGAGGTTACTCTCAACCCACAGGTATTAAAGTGTTTACCTGCTGTTTACTTTCTCATTTAAAGAATTGATTGTCTGTTGTTTGTAATTCTAATTGGCTATCCAGGGTTTAACTGTCCTCAAGAGTCATTTCAATTTTGCCGTTACGCACGTCCAATTAAAACGGTCTCATTGGCTGCAGTAGTTCATAACCTCCACATGTTCATATCTAAAAAATGACACGAGCAGCAGAAATGAGCTTTGACTTGTAAGACTGCTCTGATTGGAACTCTGTAAAACTAGTTTAGTTGGACTTTTTACATTGATATAACCTTTTTTTTTTTACAGCTGGTGAAAATACATTGCATGTGTGTTGACTTTACAGTGTTATGAAACAAAAACAAACAACAAGAAAAAAATACAAAATGTGTTATAGAAAATGTAATGATAAGTGGAGCAGATCAGGGTTTTGTCTTGACATCAGTCAAGCAAAAAATAAAATAAAATGAGGATTTCAGAATTTTATTAAAGATGAGCTTTTTTCTTAGTTGTCCAAACCTTGTAGGAACTGTTTTTGCAGCTTTTGTGTCGCTGTTTATGGTTTTAAGTGGTGTTTGTGTTGCTGTTTTAGCTCTGCCCCTTCCTGAGATCACTGGTTAATTAAACATTTATGCCAGTCAAAGAATTGAAATGCTTTGAACTACTTTATCATTCCAAACTGTCTCATTGTCTGTCCGACAGCTCAGTTTATTAACTGTCATTACGATAAAGATGGTGAACCTGAAGCTGCATATTCTCACATGACACTGAGTTTAAACCAGATACATTTACAGGTAATCTAACTGATGAAACCTCAGCTTCATTCTTGTACATCCTAGATAACATGGTGATAGCAAATTGTCTTGGTTGTTTGATTTCTGTTGATGCATTGATCTGTTTATTGATGCATTTCTCTGATGATGTGCTTTTCCTTGGATATTCAGATCGTGTGTTAGTTTAGATGCTAATCACTAAGATGTAGCGCTATATGAAGCTATCGTAAAAATAACCAGCAGGTTTCTTAGTTTAAGCTCTCAGACAGAAGCAATCATATGGCTCAAATTGATTGATTAAAATGCATTTACATAAACATACAAATATCTTCAAACATCCTGTGACAATAAGTCGATTATTCACGTCTGGTAGCAAAAGTCAATATTCACAATGCATTTTTTTAAAGAGAAAAGCAGGAATGGGTGTATTATTAATACCATTTCACCCTCATACTCAATGTTTTCTTCTCCTGTTGTGTTTTCAGGTGCAGCCTGGTCCTCCTCCCTGCCCAGTCTTCCACCCAGAGCAGACCGAAATAGTTTTGCCGCCCGATGGCCTTTGGGTGCTGAGGTTCCCTTATTCCTACGCGACAGAGCGCGGCCCCTGCTACCCCCCCAAAGAGAACCAGCCCCTCAACAACTACAAAGTGCTGCGAGGCATCCTGAGGGCCACCACTGCTAACCCTGCACCACAGTGAACTTCAATCCTGCCTTATTTATTTCCACCTCCGCGTTCATGCTGAGAGAATTCAGTTTTCAGTCGATCTGCTGGCGGCAGACTCTGCTGTGACCCACAGTGACCACAGTAATGGTTATGTTCCATTAAAGGTGCCGTGGCTGTCCATTGTTCCCCACAGATGGAGTCCTATTGATTCTGGTGACCTTTAGTGCACAATTAAAGCAAATTCACTGAAGACTTAATGCTCCCCAGAGGACGAACCCATCCTGAAGTGCCATTAAACTTTACTTGTCTAGCTCAGAGGACATTAAAAGCATCAGTAAGGCATTTTTTCCTGACACTTTAAGGTGACATGGACGCTGTGGCCTCTAGCAGGGCTTTAAGCTGCCGCTCAGCTTCTTCAGAAGTGCTGGTCAGATGGTCGAACGGCTGAGGGGGCTGCGCCAGACAAATTCTGTAATTTTCCAACTGTCCCGTTCTGCTGAGGTGAGAAAGCAAGCAGGACGTAAAGTTTGGACTACTTCTGTCGAGTGTACTGAGTAGTCGGACACTATGAATGCCTTCCAGGAGAGACTGTCTGAAAATGTGCGTCGCTTTCCTCATATTTAAACAATAGTGCATATCATTCCTCTCTATAAAAGCCAGCTGTTCACTTTAGATTGGCTGCTTAGCTCAAATGTTAGATTCCTGACATTTGGTTTGAGCATTACTTGATCCTTTGGCTTCTGTTGGACTCTAGTTTAGCACCTGTTGGATGACTGTTGCTCGTAGTTTTGCAGGTTTGCCCCACAGTTGTCACTTTTGTCAGCATTCGTTTGGCAGTTTAAGCACATCCAATCAGCTGCAGCGAGTCATTGGAATAAAAAGCGGTTGATTTTTCCACATCTAGTACGGTTTGTATTATTCACTACCTTCATAAGAAACTGACAGATATTTCAGAGCCAGTCACAGCTTTTCATCAAACATATTCTGTTTGTTTTTCAAGTACATGGCGAGACAGATTAAAGGGGAACTTCTCTGATTTTACACATCAGTTTACTCATCATGACAAGTACTATTCATCCTATAAAACAGTCACATGATGGTAATGACTTGAAGTGTCTCTTTCAAGTCTCTCAGCTTTGTGGAAAAACTAAAGTGGTGGAATCCCCTTTTAATCATTGCCTTATGGAAATCATTGTCTTTTTTGTTTTTTAACAGAGTAGTTTTGGACTAGAGGCGCAAAGTAATTTCTCACACAGGTTTAGAACATGTGTGCAAGTTGGCGACTTTAGTGTTTGTAATGTATATTCAAGCACAAACTTTACAACATGCAAAGGTGTGTTTGAGGAGCTCAATTCCCCTACATGTGTTTTA